TCATGCCCCCGAGCACGAGCTGCTGAGCCACCACTGCCACAGATGTCCTAGTGGTGCCTCTGCAGAGGAAACCTCCTCACGTATTTCGGGCAGCACTGCGAAGCTGGGGACACACAGTCCCAGTGCAAACAGACACCCTGACCAGCTATTGCAGCCCACAAACATCAGCAGCAGAGCACAGCTGCAGGTGACCTCCTGCACATCCAGGATGTGCAGCCGGCAGCAACAACTCTAAATCAGCAGCCGGCACCCACGCTTAGCTGTATAACTGAAAGCTGGAGGAGCTTCTTCTTCTGCAGTGCAGCTGGTGGGGTGAAGACCCACGTATCCAGGCTCCCAACCAGCTCAAGGCATGCCGGGGAGAGCCCAGCCCACGCCTGAGCCCCAGAGAGCAGGAGATGATCCCCAACCCAAGTTTTGGCTTCTCCAGCAGGCAGAGTGCACTGGAGCATTTCCCTCCGTAAGGGGCTTTGATGGGAAAAGGATAGGAATTACCTGTCCTGGCCCTTCCAGATCCCCCTGCCACCTCTCTGGGTCACAGCATGCCTGGGCTCAGCTCTGTGAGTGCCAGCCCTGAGCATTAAGGTTTCAGCGGTGGTAGAAGTACCTGTGCCCACTGCCTGGAGGACAGAGTGGGGGGACCATGGTCAGGTAATATTGCAGAGAAGTGGATATTCATCACATCCACCCCCAGGGTGGGCCTGGCTGAAGGCCACTCTACTGGCCCCTCTCCTGCGTCCCCTCTCCTGCGTCCCTGGGGCTGTCCCTGCAGCCCGTGCCAGCCCCGTAACTGCTGCCAAGGCACCTCACACAGAACAGCTCTCAGCCCCGAGCATGGAGCATCTCCAGCCATGGCATCTTCTTCCAGGGTGCTGCTTCAGCAGAGCGAAGTGGCCAGCCCTCCTCTCATGCTGAGCTGGCCCCAAACCAGCCTGTCCCCCAAAAGCTGAGGGAAGGAGGAGTCTGGAAGCCCCTCACCAGCAGGACCAACCTACCTCCCAGAGATGCTGCTGCACCCCGGGATAACCGGGGATGCAGCCATCTCCAAGGATGTCCTTCCATAGCCAGGCTCTGCCTTCAGCCGTCACCGGCATCCTCAGCGAAAAGCAATATTGCCCCATTTCACACGTGGGAAGCAGAGGCAGAGCTCAAGGCGCAGGGGACCAGCCCCACCTACAGCACGATTCACAGCTGTGCCTCTTTGGCTGCCCTGCTATCCCGGCGCCGGCTGTTTACCTACAGCGAGAGCTGAACCCCAGCAGGAAAATTGGCGGGGCACGACAGGCTGGGGCATCGCAAGGAAAGCTGCTGCCTGGCCACGCTCGGCAGAGCAGCTCCCCATCCCAGCAGAGCCCGAGGGAGGCCAGGAGGAAGGCAGTGCTGCTGAGGAAAATCACCCCAAAAGCCCATTTGGGCAGCAGCTGAGGCAGATAGGGGCTTGCAGGGGCGCTGGGACAGGTGGCAGCAGCATCCACAGAGCCAGCACCTCATTAAGGACTATTTGTTCCCTTAAAATAAAGCTCAGACCTGACCTCTCAAACATCCCCTGGGACCTGCTGTCCCAGCCCAGCCACCCCGCTGGAGGCAGGCAGCCAA